AAACATCATAGTCCCTAATACACGTTGTAGACAACAGACACGCCCGAGTGTCTAAAGCACGTTGTAAGCCATGGAAATCATCCTTGTTATTAATGCACCTTGTAGACAGCGGAAAACATCCTAGTTACTAATGTACCTTGTAGACAATAGAAAACGCTCAAGTGTCTAATGCCCTTTGTAGACAACAGACACGTCCGAGTGTCTAAGGCAGCTTGTAGGCCACGGAAATCATCCTTGTTACTAATGCACCTTGTAGGCAACAGAAAACGTCCAAGCGTCTAATGTCCTTTGTAGACAGCAGACACGGTCGAGTCTCTAAAGCAGCTTGTAGGCCACAGAAATCATCCTTGTTACTAATGTACCTTGTAGGCAACAGAAAACGCCCAAGTGTATTAGACAACAGGAAACATACAAAAATCTATTTGGGCGTTCGAAAAATAATGTCCAGTGTTAGAACAAACCTTTTGTGTTCGAATATACCTGTTGCACAAAAACATATTATTTATTCCTAATGATTAATTTGTCCTCTTTGTTAATTTTATATAAATCTCTTTTCAAAATGTAACTTAAAACATTATATAACACCCTTCTTGAACAGGAAAAAAAGAAAAGATGTATTTACTTTTTATGCATGAATTCAAGATTGGTGATAATGTTTCTAAAATTACTGCCTTCATTAGCTGAGCATTGGTTGAATGATTAACTTACGATTGCACAGTACTTCGCTGGTTTCTGAAAATAAATGTAGTAGAGGGCGTCCTTCTACAATTGACACTCAACATAATAAGACACTAGTTTAATAAAACCCACGTCAAATATTATAGAAATATATCAGATAATAAGTGTCAGCATTTTAACATTATCGGACCATCTCAAAAAAATTGGTAATGTAAAGGAAGTCGATAAAATGGGTTTTACATGAACTCTGTGAAAATCAAAAATCTCCACATTTTGAATTTGTGTTCGATTCTGCATCTGCGAAGTTTGAATGGTCCATTTCTTGATCGAATAATGACTTGTGATGAGAAATGCATCCTTGACAATCATAAACGTTCGGCTCAGTGGCTTGATTACGACAAAGCATCCAAACACTTTCTAAAACCGAAATTGTACTAACAAAAGATTCTAGTGACTGCCTGCTGGTCCGCCATTGACGTTATACATTACAACCTTCTGGAATCTAGCCAGAACATCGATGCTGAAGTTTACTGTCGTCAAATGAATGAAATGCACATTCAGTTAAGCAAAATGCTTCAGGCACTGGTTACTCAAGGAGATCTAATACTGCTTCATGACAATGTTCGGACACATGTTGCCAGGATGACATTGCAAAGATCACCGACTTGGGATATGAGACAATGCCACATTATCCATATTTCTCTGATATATGATTACCACTTTATCAAGAATCTTGACAATTTTTGAAACCAAAAAACTTTTCATCGCAAAGATCCAGAAACTGCATCCAAAGATTTCTTGGTGTTCAGACCATTAGTTTTACCGTAATGACATCTGTTTATCTTTTGTTTTCCTCAGTTACTTTTGCCTTCAATTTGTCCTGTGAGTATCAACTTTTCTAATCCTCCTTTCCCCATCATATAATCTAGAAATTTCAACTTTTTCTGTCTAATGTTAAGTATAAGAGTCGTTTCTGCCTCTGATTTCTCTAAAACTTCGTCGTTGCTTGCATGTACGGTCCATGGTGTTTTTGACTTCCTTTTGAATAACCACATTTCTTTTGCTTCAAGTCTCTTTTTTATTTGTGAAGAAATTGTCCAACATTGACTGCCACATAGGAGAACTGATATTATATAACAGTTCAGTACTCTTGTCTTTGTTTCTAACAATTTTTTCTGTTTCTTAATACTTTGCTTAGCTTTTGGAAAGCACCTTTCACTTAGTTTTGTAAAATATATTCTATAGGACTCATATTTTTTGTTCTCTCAAATATATGAGATTTTGTTATTTTCTCCATATATTATCTTTGTTTTTACTAATGTTCACCCAATATCAAGCCCAAGAACCACTCAATGTAGAGGGTTACTGTGTGGAGTTGTATTAGTGTAAGGACAAGCGTTAGGAGAAGTTGAAGTAGACATTAGAAGGAAACAGAAACCCAATCCTAAACAGGAAACAAGAGATAAACGTCCACTGTTGCTCGAAAACCCGATAGGCGAATCTATCTATTCCTATTGGTGGAGGAAAAAGAAAAAATAGTGAATAAAATTTCAGACTTCATGCGTAGATGTTAAGATTATAGAGCTGAAGCAGATTTTAGAAGGAACCAGAAACCCAATCCATTTCTATTCCTCGATTCGTGGGTTTATAAGGAATTTGCTAAACAAGAGCTGAGAAAGCTTTCCTATTTTCGCTTTTCTTAAAATGTGTATTAGAATCTTCAATATTTTCTTTTGTTTTCTACATAGTTTATCTATAAATGACTCGTTTGTTAACTGGGGCTCTGTTGCAGGCTCATCTATTTGTAGTGAAACAAGTGTACTTGAATAAACAATTACTAAGATTAGCTTAATCAGATTAAAGACCACCATTTATGGGCGCCCAGTAAGGTTCGATGTTTGTATACTAGCAACAGTTACCAATATCACTTTGTCAACTGTGACTCTCTAACACCCACCCTTCACTTGTGTCAATGGTAATGGTAATGTTAGCCATTTCCCTATAAGGAAACATTCGGCATTCATTATCCGAGCAACCAGTCGGTTGAAATTTATAAAACATTTCTCTTAAATCAATTTTTCAAGAAAATAGGTTTCTGAAGCCCAGTAGCTGTTATCGTTCTTTCCAGTAATCGTTGAGGTTTCCTTCCTAACTTTATATTTGAAGTGGTGCGGAATGTCAGCATCTTGATTGTGTCATTATTTCCTCTACAAGTCAGATGTGCTATTCATTTTAGTTGTTGCTGCTGTTGGTTATCCTTAAGTGATATGGTTTATGTTATTTGGTACAGTTATTTGTCTGCGATTCTGTAGCGCCAGTCCACAATGTTCAAAGAAGGGTGATCTTCGCTAAGACCCACATGCTTAACTCAAAATCATTTTAACGATTGATCATAGAAAGCGGCTGTATACAGCTGACAGTTGAGATATTTCTGAATGGGTGTGGCGTCATGCATGATATTCATATGAAAGTCTCGTTTTGACGAGTCTATTTAAGAACATGAATTTACACAGAAGTACAATGCCTACTAAGGTTAGTTTGGTATTCGTCCACACTAGTTGTGCAGCCAGTGAAAATCGAGATCATTTTAATACCATGTCACTTTAAGACGTAAGAAAGTCATGACTCTCCACAAATTCTTTTTCCCTTATTGTTATAACTTAGGAAAGGTTACTGAAAGAGGAATAACCAAAAGGGAGATTGGGAATGAAATGGTAATTTTTATAACATCAACAAAATACAATACTCGTCAGCGGCGTGAGGTAGGTAAACCACTGCTAGTGGTGGACTACGTAGACAGCATATTATCCCCACTTACAACAGTGTCCAGCGTATTTATGAAGATTGAGACATAACGATTAGTGTTCATAGATACGGTATATAACACTCCCCCACCTTTTCAGATTTACTCTGCACAAGGTCAATGTCTTTTCCTTTAATAGTATTATTCTAATTCGTTCCTGTTGTAATCTAGAATGGGTTACTGAATGAGGAATAACCAAAATGGAAGTTAAAAATTAAAATGGTAATCTTTATAAAATTAACGAAATACAATACTCGCCAGCAACGTGAAATAGGTAAACCACTGCTAGTGATGACCTACTTAGACAGCATATTACTCCCGCTTACAATAGTGTCCAACATATTCATCAGGATTGCGACATACTCATCAGTGTACATAGGTACGGTATATAACACTTATTATCTATGAATTACCGTGACTCTTTGGGTAAGTTATTGAAGTGGTTTCCCGTTGCCATCTCTGTGATTTTGAATTCAGATTTGTTGTTGCTCTAGAGTCTAAACTGACTGCCACACAAGTCTAGGAAGTCTATTCTAATTTGCTAGTTAACCGATAGCTATATGGAAAAGAGATGGATTCGCTCTTTTTAAAGAACCGGTAATGTGAAAGTGAACACAACTGAGATTAAACTCATTTTGCTGATTACTCTTTCTGTGCCGATAACCGTTACGCTTCCCGCATATTCTCGATAATTCATATCCGTGCCGCTATTCAGCTTCGCGCCTCCACACTTGTACAAAATTGGAAGGAAAGACACAAACAAAAGCACAAAGAGAAAATGTCATTTATAGAAAAGACGCACCTATTTGTAGCCAATTAGACGTCGAGGTTTTACTAAAAGCCCCTCATAGCGTGAAGGAAATGATTTTTAGCACGTTTAAAAATCGTTTTTAATAAAATACAATTGAAAAGGCGGAGATAGTACAAATTTATTAAGGCATGACCTTTTGCGGTCAAAGCGTCGATTTCTGTTTATACCGTCTTTTGTTCGGACCAACTGAGCAGAGGTTTGTGGTTTTTCCACCATGGAGCACCCCGTCAACTTCAATAATGTTGAAAACAAACCTTGTCCCTTTAAGATGAGTTTTTAAAGGAAACGCACTTAGATACCTATATCTGTTAAGTATTTCCCAGGATTGCTCTCCTTCTACGATAGGCTTTATCAAAGAACTTAAAGGGACTCCATAAAAGATACTACAAACCAAACCAGAACAAGACTATAGCATCTTTGTTATGCTTTTCCATCAATCTCTTTTCTTTTTCTTTTTAATTTGTTTTCTTTCCCTTTGGGATGGTCATTACACATTATCACATTAAGCACACTCTGCCTAATATCCCCCCATCCATACGAAGTTGAGGTCACGACCCAGTCTAAACCTCAAAGGGAAACAAAGATGTCCCTTCCTCTTAAACAGCAATCTCGCTTGTATCCACGTCGTTGAGGGTCGTCCATTGCCCTCTTTCTGTTGGGGTTATAATTATGGATATAATCACTAAATTCATTCAACTAATTCAAAACCGGAGAGAGAGAGAGAGAGAGAGAGAGAGAGAGAGGGAGAGAGAGAGTAAAAAGAAAGATATAAAAGAAAAAGAAAACGTATGCGAGAAAGAGAGTGAAAAGGACATGTTGAGAGGGAGAGATAAGAAGAGATAGACAGACAGATAGATAGATAGATAGATAGAGAGAGAGAGAGAGAGAGAGAGAGAGAGAGAGAGAGAGAGAGAAAAGAAATAGATAGAAAAGAAAGAAAGAAAGTGTGAGATAGAATTAAAAAGACATGGGGAGAAAGAGAGAAGGGAAAAACAAAGAAAGAAAACTCTGTGTGTGTGACAGAGAGAGAGAGACAGAGAGAGAAAGAGAGAGAGAGAGAGAAAGAGACAATATATGTATAGAAAGAAAGAGAGGGCAAACAAGATAGAAAAAAACGAAAAAGAGTGGAAGAAAGAGAAAACAAAGAAAGCGTGCACGAGGGAGAAAATATATAGAAAGAAAAAGGCAGTGTAAAAAATAGATAGAAAGGAGTAAAAAAGAAAGAACGAAAGAAAAAAAGTGAATAAAAAGATAAGAGAAAGAGAGAAATAAAGCGAAAACTAGAAAAAGAGAGAGAAGAAGAAAGAAGACAAATAAAGACGTAAAGAAACGTAGTAAAAAAAAAGGGAATAGAAAGAAAGAAAGAGTCTGTATATAGCTGACTACTCATGCCAATCTTTGTTTCAAATTAGATTTTCCAATGTTCTATCGATGTCTATTTACCATGCTTAGATACGTAAAACATATGGAGTGTTAATTGCAAATGAAATTCACTGTAGTCATAACGATCTGAGAGACTTGCTTGTTAACCACTGCTCCACGAAAATGCGGCTTGTTATTTATAAAAACATTGCTTATAACCGCTAAAAACCACACATGCGTTTTATACAATGACGATCGAAATCGCTATAGGTATGGTTTACTCGGCTACAGTGCTAACCATTGCGACATGGCAAGTTATCAACAACTCTTTAACGTTTTTATGAAAAACAAACTAAATAACATATTTACATATGTTCATACATATTTACATCAAAGAACTGTATCTATTTTCTATTATTAAAACGTATAAAATTGCGTCTCGCTCGGATCAAAGTGTAGCATCTGTTCCTCTCCTCTCTGCCGGTTTTTCGAATAGTTCACTGTCATGGGTCCTTACCTATAACTACAGAATGAACTCTTCCTAACACTATGTATACTACGCCTCTCAGGAGAGAGGGACGAATCGAGTCGATAGTAGTTCACTCCAAACCAGACTGACAGTCATACTAACACCTTCCACATCTTGTACTATTATTTCGTGTAATATACCTTCGTTATTTCTACACTTGTGTTCGTGTTGTTCTTCCTTGGTCCTAACCTGGACCATAACATTCACTGAAAAAAGTTTTGAGGGGTCCCGAGTCCCGGGGATTTCAACCCTGTTATAGCACCTCCCTAATTTCACTAAAGAGGTGTGGTTAGTGGATACCGGATTATAGTGTAGTATCAGTTCTGTATATCTCTTAAAGTTATAAGGATTGGGTGCTCCCAGGGATTCCAACCCCTTTTGCAGCTCTTCCCAACTTGCACGAATGGGGAGGACGGAGGATTCTGTCACCTAACCTAATAGTGATCGAGGAAACAAGGCGGTTTATATTCTTGGCAAAGTACAACCCATGTGAAGCCCGCTGATGTGTCTCATCCTATCTCTGGGTGGGGGGAAGGCAAATACAGGATAAGAACGTATCTCATTAACAAGTTTATGTGAACAGATGGCAGAACAGGACGAAGCGGGTTGGTAAAAGGTCAAAAGTTACTTAGAATAACAAAAGCAGGAAGTTTTGAAGGGCCATGGTCGCCCATGTTCTGAAAGATGATGTTGATGCAAATACTTTGTTACTAATATATATAGTTTGTTATTTACAAAGCTTAGTCTAGTTTGAAATATCAAGAGTAGGGTTCGTCACGATGGCTATTGATATAATCGAACATTTGAAATCATTCAGTATCATTTTGAAACATATCCTGAGAATCTTTGGCATTATGTTTCCTGCAACATTTCAAAGACATTCTGGCGATTATCGCATTTGATGAGCAGAAGAATGTCTTTATATGTTCTTATTCTCTGGACCAAAGTTGGTCGCAGATGAAATAAGCAGCATTCGTATATCAACAAGAAGGTACACTCCTTTTGTAAGATTACCCCCACATGGTCTGCTAAGACGCCGTAATATGGCACTGTTTAAGAGCTATAAAACAGGGAATACTATATTTTTCTTTTTTTCTTTCTTTCTTTCTTTCTTTCTTTCTTTCTTTCTTTGAAGATAATATATGTGGTAGGTAGCAACAACAATACAAGAAAATATATCTGTATTGAAATTTTTTCCTTTCACACATTCTATTTCCTTTTACCTCTGAAAATAATGACAACCCATCATTTACATGTGAAAATGTTTTTTATTCTATTTTTTTACAATGAAGCCAAGGTTAAGATTGTATCCTCTTAGGTGTCGGTTCCACAGAGCAGTATTTCGTGAGAAGAAGCTTACTTCTCACCGATGGAATACGGGGGGAATGAGGGTGATTTGTTACAATGTGAGTGGCATGGCGGGTCTTTACCGTGATGGTTACAACTGGCGGAACCAAGGAATGCAGTTCGTCCGTGCATTTCCATGGAAGTAGCGATAGAACATTGAGGAGCTTGCTACATTCCGTTTGTGAGAAAGGGGTTGCAGGGTGGAACATAATTTCTCACCCACAAGGACACGGAGTCGCTTTTGGATTCTATCGAGACTGGAAAGTGAGGACTAGGCAGCTTCTGCCAAAATATGATAGCAGTACTCCATTTTAGGCCTGATCTAGTTCTTGTAAAGGTAACGGATACCAGGGGGGAGTCAGGTACTTACTGGAGCGGTACAGGGAACCGGCCGTTTTTTTCTTGCATCTTGAGTGATGAATCGCATGTACGAGTTAGACTTGAGGTCTGGAGTGAGTTTACCGCTTTTAGCTGAGCTAGAGGCAGTATCCGCAACAAAGATTAGCTGAACGAACGGTATTGACGGAGTTAACTCCTCCTTAATTGTCCAAATTTTTCGCTCTCCCTACACTATAAATATTGGGCGATTTCTTGACTCGTTCTCTTTTTACTTTGCCTTTCAGCGAACACATTTACAAAATGTGATCTCTCGCAGAGATTTGCGTTTTGTCCATTTGTGGGAAAACGCCATCAAACACACATACACGTACGTATAAACATTCACCAAAATACAAAATCCTCAATAAGAAGTAATATGAAAAGGACGGTTTTTCCCATGACACCGCTTTTTTAACTACCTTCACTCTTTGGCAATGTTTATTGTTTTAAAAAGTGATTATTAGAATTGGAATAAAACCTAAACATTTGTACATTTGCTTTGTTCTAGAGAATTGACAAGAAAAATAATAAATATTATTTGTTTATTTACAATATATATTTATTAAATTGTTTATTGGAATGGTTGGCTAATTGCCAATTGATTCAAACTTTATAAAATGGTAAATAATAAGGATTTCCTTATAGTTGGTTCACACACTTTAATAATTTAGCAAATGTTTATAAATTTATGAAATAAAATTTGGCTGCACATTTATTTCTTTACAAATTTCTTGATAACACTTGCATTGCATTAATTTTAATTGTATTAATTTTTGGAATGTTTTAAATATAAAATTATTCTTGTAAATCTAATAAATAAATTGTGTTTAATATTTTTGTTGTAAATTTTCAAGGACAAATTCGCTTTCATCATATATTTAAGTTTTATTAAAATTCTAATAATCGCTTTTTAAAGCAATAAACATTGCCGAACACTATGTACATTAATCGGACTATTGTCCTCATCTTTGTTGCCATATTTATCACAACGTTTCGGCCGTTGTACGTTCCGGCCAGGTGGTTGGAATGTCGAACTGAACCCTTTATTTCGCTCACTGGGGTAGACTGTTCTAGTTCCGCGTGCCATGTCTAATGGATGTCAGTTTAATGTGGGACTTTCCCCGTAGACCCCGCATACCCGAGGTCGGATGGCTGTCTACCTCCCCAGATGAGACTCTGCCCGTAGGCGTAGCCTCGTATTAGTTTCTCTCAGCCTGAAAGCAGAGAGGTCGACAAGTAGAATATTTGCAAACTCAGAGGTTTGGTAAATAGCTCTCGGCTTTGCGAGTATTGCGGGGCATTAAGCTCTGTCTCAGGAGGATCGTGCCTCCCAAGAGAGGGGATAGGGTTATTTCCTAACGTCTGAAGTGTCTCCAAAAGGTGAAGAGCCGATGGAGTTTTCACCCTAGCCCATGAACTCACAGGCTCTTGCTTTAAAGTCGGCCTTGTGCCATATTCTATTCGATTGTAGGCATGGATAAGTACCTGGGCAAACAACCTACACTGCAGCCTTAAAAAGTCCTTGTAACAAAAAAGAAAAAAGGATTCGGATTTAATGAATCACTGGAAAAAAATAAAGAATATATGTATATATATATATATGAGTCCCTGAAAAAGTATCAAAAACATTCAGAGTCAAAGAATCAGAAAAAAAAAAATGTAAATTTGGAACTTAAAGTGTCCCAGGAAAAGGCAAAAACAAAAATAACTTCAGGCGTAAAGAATAAAAAAAAAAACATGTAAACTTGGAAATTAGACCTAAGAAAAAAAGAAAAAGAAAAGACTAACAAAAACAAAAAATAAAACCAAAACAATCAAAAAAAAAAAAAACAAAACAAAAAAAACAAACTAAAACATCTTCGGGCTTAAAGAATCAGAAAAAGAAAACAAACAAACTTGGAAATTAAAGTATCCCAGGAAAAATAAATAAATAAATAAAAAAAAAAACAAAAAACGAAGAAATAAAACTAACTTGTAACTTAAAGGAACCAGGAAAAAAACATCTTTGGGCTTAATTGAATTCGTTTAAAGAATCCCGGGAAAAACAAACAAAATCCCAAGAAAAATAAACAAAATCCCAGGAAAAACAAACAAAATATTTACAACTTAAAAGGTACCTGGAAAATAGTCTCTACAAGTCGAAACACTTCTAAATCTGGGATTTGTTAACCACATTTTTCATTATTTTGGAACTACTTAAATAGAGTGGTCCACTCGTTAAGAAAAGCAGTAATACTACTTAAATAGAATAAGAAAAATTATTTGAGAATAATTTTTGTAGATTGGCCACCTCAATAGTGCAGTCAAAATCGAAATATTTGATGTTTATAATAAGTCATTTTAGAAAGGGTATCTTTGTTCATAATTTCTATACCGTGTCAAATCGATATTATCTGGACTAACTGTTCTGCATGCGAAAGGAAATTTTTATTTTTTAATGATTAATTTTAAATAATACAAACGGATATATATATATATATATATATATATATATATATATATATATATATATATAGTTAGTTAAAGAAGAAAAAATTATATAAATTAATAAAAAGTATGTATCCGTTTATTGTTCATTTAAGAAAAATAATTTATTATTTCCAAGTTTTTGTTCATTTTTTGTTCAACAAACAAGAAAAAAGTTTTTAAAAAGTTAAAAAATTT